TCAAAACCCTGCCTTATACTAAAAAATATCCAATCTGGTGTATTTAACTTGGTACATTGTTGATTTCATTAAAACTTAACAGAACAGAAGACTGTACTGTAACAAGAGTAAAGAAGAAATTCTTACTCATTTTGTTATACACTGAATCAACTGAAAAACACTTATGATAAATAGACCATGTCAAGACAAAACACAAGCTCCTTGCAGATTAAAGGGTGAATTTTCAACCTTACCTCTATGTTTCCTGATTTTTAGGGGCTAAGATTACCCTCATATTCTTAAACTCCCATGAACTTTTTTCATATAAAAAAAAGTGTTTAAGAACATGGGGTGTAAGTTTAAATTATCTTGATATAGTTCTCTCCTGCACCTGGCTGGTTGCCTTTACATCCTCTAAAGCAGTGGGTGTCTCAACCTTTTTCATTCCAGGACCCATTTGCCAAGCTCAATGGCTTGTCCCAACCCATACCCCCTGGCCCTGCTGGTACCTGACCCAAAGTCCCCTGCTGGTACCCCCACCTCCAAGCCAGAGCCCCCTTTGCCCCAAGTCACAACCCTCCCCGTCCCACAGGTCATGCTGGTGCCCCTCACTCTCAATCTGCAGTTCCTTGTCCCCACCCCAGCCCTGCTGGAGGGGCCCCCCCAGCTACCTCTGTCCTGCTGGGGCCAGAATACAAGCAGTGAGTACAGGCCCCTGGATGTATGGGCACGGGCCCCATGCCACCTGCCCAGGCACGCAGCTCCTTGCTGCAAGAACTTCCCCTGCTTCCTTATATCACTGATGGGCCAAGTACATTCTCCTTGCTATAGCCTCACATCCAGCCACTGTTCCCAGCGCCTACACACAGGCACTCCCCACCCATGACAGTCCCCTGAACTTCCATCCCTGCTCCCCATACACTTACTTGCATCCAGCACTGGGGCTGTTCCCACGACCTGGCCTTGCTGTATACTGGCCATGTGTGTCTGCAAGTGCAGATGCATGTGTGCCCGCTACCTCCAGTCGTCCCAAGCAGCACTTGCAGGCTGGAACTCTGCCAGCCTGCAAGAGGAAACCCATGCTTTCGTGGGTTTTTCTGGAACTTCCTTGTGACCCTTTCAAATACTCTTGCGACCCACTTTTGGGTCGTGACCCACCAGTTGAGAAATGCTGCTCTAAAGCACATTTTCTATAACCTTTTTTTAAAAATATAAATCTTTAAATACAAAAATACCCACCCCAACATAGCTTCTAATCAACTACTAGCTACCCATTTGTCACTAGCTATATTCCTAGTTAACCAGAAGTGTCCAATATAAATCTGTGGGCCCCCATTATCCAGTCCCCAGTGCTGCCCCTGGGTCTGAATTGACTAGGACTTGCCCCAAGTGCAGAGACTGGAATACATACCACACATAGCACTCATCCCAGGAGCTCTGGGACATGCACCATGCACAGAGCCGCTCGTCTGGGATACAGCAAAGGTCCTGAATTGGCTGAAGCAGGTGCTGTGTAAAGTGTACTCCTGGAGCAGCCACCGGGGCACTGTGTATGTTGCAGATCCCAGATATGCAATGCGGTCCAGATGGGGCAGATACCACACATATCACGGCATGCACTTCAGGACCCATGGCACCTCCCCCATTGCTATGAGATCTGTGCCATATGCAACACGGATCCCACTGAGGGCTCTGGATCCAGCATGTGGGGCAGGAAGGGTGTTCATGAGTTTGACATCAGTGGTGCTGGCTCCTACCTTGGGGGTCTTTAAGAGGAGGCTTGATGATTACCTAGCTGGGGTTGTTTGAGCCCAGTTCTCTCTCCTGCCCAGGGCAGGGGATCAGACTAGAAGATCTGCAAGGTCCCTTCTGACCCTATATCTATGAAATCTTTGTAGTAAACAGGTCTAACACCAATCATCTAACACAGTCAATTACAGCTGTTCTAAACTAGTATCCTGGGAAACATCTGAAGCAGGAAAGCAGGGGGGTTCCAATTTACCAGTAAAACCCAGTGGTGCTCAACCTTTTTCCTGTGGGCTGGATAGGTCCACCTGTAGGCCAGATCCAGCCAGTGGTCCTGATCACCAGGTACCATATAGCTACACAGAAGGGAGTGGGGTGGGGTTAGGTCAGGGCTAACATGGCCCTACAGGAGAAGGGAGTGTGACCCACCCCCAACCTGGAGATGGGAAACGAGGGGTGTGGCCAGGCTCTGATCTAGAAATGGGAGGGGGGGGCGGGAAATGAGGAGGAAGCCAGGGTGGCCCAGCTCATGGCAGGGGGAGGGAGATAGTGACAGTCAGGCTCCAACAGGCTGCATGGGCTTAGGTTTTGGGAAAGGGGTTTGGTGGGGAGGAGGCTACATTACTAACTACCACTTTCCCACCACCAGATTTCTGGACATGTAAGGAGCTCTGTGGGCCACATTTGGACGGCGCCAGGGGCTGAGTTCCCTTGATGTTGTCTCACTGCAGGGCACACTGGCTGAGGGGCAGGCAGGCTGTGCTGCACCAGCCCGGCTTGCCCCAGCCGCTACCCTGTTGCCAGGTGCTCCCCGCAGCGCCGGGTGCCGCCACCCCAATCCCACGCCGGGACCGCGACTCCGGCGTCACTGGAGAGAGGTGACGGGGGCCACGGTCCGACTACCAGCGCAGTCTCCGCGGCCCATCTGCTCCGCTAGCGCAGCCCCGCCCGGTCTCCCCGCGTCTTCCTGAAAGCGGGACTCCAGGCCCCGTGACAAACTGACCGCGCGGCGCGGCTGACACACGGTCCGGGCCAGGCTGACGCAGCCGGTTTCGGTTTCTCCGCGAGTCAAGCGGGGCCGACCCCGACCCCAGCCCCGGCCCCGGCCCCCCGAGCCCTCGGCAGCCCCGCGCCTTGCACCCCGGCGGAGACGCGGGGGGGTGGAGACACAGCCAGGCCCATGACGCGGCATCTCGGCGGCGGCACTCACCGACTTGGTAGAGACGGCCCTCGGGGGAGAAGATGGTGATGTGCCGGTCGAAGCCGGCGCTGGAGCCGCGGGACATGGCGAGTGGCACACGCTCCGCCCTGGTCACAGCACGCGGGGCCAGCGCCCACCGGCCACGACTGAGCAGCAGCAGGAGCACTTCCGGGGCACGCGCTCCGCGCAGGCGCGGGAGAACCGCTCAAGTGGCCTCTACCGCGCATGACTATTTCTGAGCGCCCTCCAACCCGCAGCCGGGTGTCCTGCACTGCGCACGCGGCTGGGTGGAGTAAGATGCCCATCTCCCGCCCAGGGCTGAGAGTCGCGGCGAACTGAGGCGACAGACGGGTCCGGTGGCATCGCGGGAGGACGGCAGCCAATCAGCTGGACCGCAGCTGCCTCCTCTCGGGCGTCGGAGCCGCAGGAGGTTGGCGCGGCGCGGCTTGGCCACACGAGACCCCACCAGAGCCGCCCTCCCCGCTTGCTTCTCGCATCTTTGCTTCGGTCCGGTCCGACGCGCAGTCGGCACCCCGCGGCCCGGCCATGCTGCGGACCGCGGCGCGCCGTCACATGGCGAGGGAAAAAGGGTCTTGGAGGCCGGAGGCGGAGCAGCCCCTCGGGCGCTGGGGGTTGTGCCGCGCCTTGCGGAGCACCCACCCCTATTCCTCCCCCTCCCATTCCAAGCTTGTAAATTCCGCACTTCCGTTAGACCCTGGCAAAGAACACCCTGCATTTGGAAGCTTTTCTAACTTGGTCCCAGCTGTTTAGCTGGTCTGATAATCTATGTCTTCCTAAGGAATACTTACCTCGTGTAATTCCTGCAACGTGCTAGCCGCAACATCACTCTTGTGCTACTGTTTTAAAGCATTGGCAGCTTTGCAAGTAAAATCCGGCTGTACGTTTATACATGTATATGGATTTCAGATTAAAAGAGGGGAAAAAAAAAAGGTGGGACTTTTATTTCGGGATTAATTTCTGCCACAGCTGCATCACCATAGTGCAAGATATTTGAAAAGACATACTGTGTATCAGTATGTAGTACAAAGGGAAATTCCCCATTTAAAGCCATGAACATGTCTTGGTTGGTGGCTGAGAATAAAATGGAATTCAACGCAGACAAGTGCAAGGTACTGATTCTAGGGAGAAGGAACCTGCAACACACCTACAGGCTGGGGAACACCTTTCTCAACAACACAGTGGCTGAAAGGGTTCTCAAAGTCATTGTTGACTCCAGGATGGACATGAGCCACCAATGAGAGGAAGCAGTAAGGCTAATTGCACATTGTTGTACATCTACAGATGCATCACAACCAGGTCCAGGGAGGTGATCCTTCCCCTCTATGCAGCACTGGTCAGGCTGCAGTTGTGGAGTACTGCATCCAGTTTTGGGCGCTGCATTTCAAAAGGGATTTGGCTAACCTTGAGAGGGTCCCAGAGGAGGGCCACTCACGTGGTTAGGAGGCAGCGGTCCAGGCCCCATGAAGATAGACTAAAGGGCCTGAATCTATTCAGCCTCCACAAGACAAGAGTGAAAGGGGATCTGGTGGCTGTCTATAAACTCACCAGAGGGGACCAGTGGAAAATAGGTGAGGCTGTGTTCCCCTGGGCACCGCCTGGGATAACAAGAAATAATGGCCACAAATTGAGAGCAGGTTCAGGCTTGATGTCAGGAGGCATTACTTTATGGTCAGGTCTGCCAGGTTTTGGAATGGGCTCCCAAGGGAGGTGGTGCTCTACCATACCTTGGGGTCTTCAAGAGGAGGCTGGATAGACATCTGGCTGGAATATTATGATCCCAGCACTCGTTCCTGCCCAGGGCAGGGGGTCGGACTTAACGATCTGTTCAGGTCCCTTCCGACCCTAGAAACTATGAAACTATAGTGCCTTGGATTTCCCCTACTGAATGTGGAAAGGTGTTTGGATTTTTGTGTCATAAACCGACCTGGAAAGCCATGTTCCAAAATCTGTTACCTTTTAGCGTACAACTGCTAAATGGACTCAGAATGCCTGTAGGAAAATAGTATTTCCATCTACTTCTTGGATAGTGATCTCTTAGGTGCTTTTAATTTTTTCCCCTTATTTTTTCAATTACCTATTTGTAATTTACTGCATCTTATGAGAGACAGTTTGATCGTATGTAGAAAGGCACTGGCCCTCTTTCCTCAAATAACAACTCCCTCTGTAGACAAAAAAATTAAATACAACATTATGAAAATTCTCATTACATAGGCCAACAGAGCTAGCTACCAGAGCCCCTTTCCCTTTAAGGAAAAGAAGATAGAAAATTGCAAGAATTATTGTCCATATAGTCTAGCTGCAAATAAATCATGGTAATACGTCAAGAGACTTGCATGTTTTGAATCAAAGATTCAGTATCTTATTACAGACCTACATTTTAAAAAATCCAACATTTTAAAAGGCATGGAACAGTCGGAGTGATATTGTTTCAGAAGCCTCTCCATCAGCTCCCATAGTATATGTGGCAAATTACTGAATTTCAAACTATGCTTTTGTTTCAAAATAGCCAAACATAAAAGGGATTTCTTTTTGGTCTGCTACTCATTAACTTTCTTTAGGCCCATTTGAGTCAGGTTCTCTGACACAGGAAAGCAGAACTGCACAGGATGATTGTTCTCTCTGATATTTTGTAACTCATTAGCATGACAAACAGATCTCTATTCACACCTGCAGCACCGGTGAGATCTTTTCAGTCTTCTTTCATACCAGCCTGTAACTGTGCTTCATCCTATCCTGAAGGACCAGCTCAAGATGTGATGTACTCTATTACCAGTATTTGTGCCCATTCAGTTCCAAGTTCCTTTCCTAATACTGGCAGTAAGGGGCTCAGGAGGGAAAAATTTGTCTGGTAATATCTTTTATTGGACTAACTACCATATATAGTAGTAAGATGTTAGATAAGCTGAGGACAAGAATAAGAAGCCAGGGGCTTTCTGTTACTATTGAGAAAGCTGGCAGCTGGGAACAGTTCAGGTGGACTAGGCTGCTTGCAAAAGAGTAGCAAAGAGAGGCCGCCTGGATCTTAGGCAGGAGAAGTTCTTATTGCTGAGGTAGTAGCAAATAGTCCAATAGGGCAGAGAAGGATGGAAACAGTGGTCTGCCTACTGCAAGGCTAGCTTCACCACAATAGTGCTGGGAAGTGGGGCAGTTAGCTATCTCCCACAGCTAGGAGCGACTCTGAAGATCAACTAGTTAACTGAAAAGGCACCTGCAGTGGTTGGGAGATCACAAGATCTGGAGGGGGAGGATCTAGGTCCTATATAAGCCCAGAACTTGAAACCAGGAGGCAGGCTGCCAGGGAAGGAGCCCCTCCATGATGACCATGGCTGGGAGACTGTGTGAGGAACCCTAGCTGCTCCATCAGCAAGGAGGGGGTCTTAGTGTTATGCCCGGAATGAGAGACTGCCAGAGACCTTGCAACAGGTAGAGTATTAAGGAACTGTGAGTTGCCTGTGAGCTGAACTTTCTTACACAGTTGGAGTGCTTGATTTTGATTATAGCTGGGGTGCTGGACTTTTCTGTTATGATTTGAACTGGTTTGGGACTGATTAGTGGAAGAGAAGGAGGTCCTAATAGTACCTAGAAGCACAACCAAGCTTGAGCCTGCCAAGAACAGAGCTCTACCCTGAGAGGGGGTGGGCTAGGGCTAGGCACCTTGCCTGAGGAAAAAGTAGGGAAGTGACTGAGACCAGGCCCTAGGCTCAGTGCTGGAATTAGGCAGAGCCAGGGTCAGGGACCCATGGCTCCAAGAAGCAGGGAGGGTAAACCCAGGGGCCCACAGCCTGAGAAAGGTAGAGGCAAGGGGTTGTAGCTTCAGGAGGGGGAGAGCCTGATCAGATGCTTATAAACCTGGCAGGGCAGAAGAAGAATCTGAGGCCAAAGGCTCACTGAACTGACTGCTGACACCTGCAAGGCATGAGTGTGGCTGGCTACAGAGGAGATTGGAGGTCATGAATCAACAGGACACAACATGAACAGAAATGTTGTATGGATGGGTAAGCCAGACAGTGAGACCCTGGGATGGAGGCAG